GGTGGTGGAGCGACGCTTAATAAAGCCATGCTGACAAGGAGTGATGATCGAAGAGCAAAGGTGTTGCAAATGAGGGGTAATTAATTTTTCAAATAACTTTGGAATTGCCGACAACTTAGAGATGCCTCTGTAGTTGGCAGCCTCGGACTTTTTCCCCTTTTTATGTAAGGGAATTATAAATGATTCCTTCCACTTAAGGGGAAAAATCGCGGTTTCCAAAGATAAGTTGAAAAGTCTTAGAAGAGGTTTGCACAGAGCCCTGGCGCAGTATTTTAGCACACAGCCTGGTACTCCGTCGGGGCCTGGCGAATAAATGGGTTTTACCCTTAAAAGACCAGATAATAAGTTGTTCTCAGAAAAGACGGACAGAAAATAAGATTTGCTGCTTGAATGTTATATGCATAAGGCTGATCAGTCAATTTAGGAGGAGAATAAGTTGTTTGAAAAAATTCTGCGAATAGATCGGCAATGGCCTGATCCGAAGTCGCAGAGGAATTTTCAAACATAAGCAGAGGTGAAAAAGATACGTGTTTACGCTTAGTGTTTACAAAATTATAAAACTGCTTTGGATCCTGAGTAAATTGAATCCGGCAGCGGTCAATATAATTCCTATAACATTCAGCGTTATGCACGGTAAAATTCGACCGAGCTAGTAGGTATCTTGAGAAATCAACACTACTGCAGGTTTTTTTATATTTAAGTAAAAGCTTATTTTTTTTTTTTTTTAGGTTAGTGAGGGACCTTGTATACCAAGGAGGATTTGTTGAAGCGGACGGATGTTTCCAAGGCACACATGAGTCAAAAAATGTATTTAAAGTAAAATAAAATTTTTCTAAAGTGACATTAAGATCAGTGCACGCCAGAATATCAGACCAGTCAAATGTATCGATAAGGCTATTAAGTTTTTGAAAATCAGCTTTACGGAAACAGCGAATCTTATTTACCAAGCTCGGAGACATCTGATCGATACCAGGAGTGGTTTCGATTGAGACCTCCAGCGTGGGGTGATATGGATCCTCTGGGGCTGAAAGGGGAAAAGCTCTGGAGAGAGCGGTACCATCCGGATCAGATACAAAACATAAGTCTAAGAGCCGACCTAGCGAATTTCTAACATGATTGATCTGACCTAGGGACATGTCAAACATGCCCGCGGTGAAGTCATGGTAAGTTATAAGTGACAAAGATGGTGAGTTATCGACGTTGGACCACTTTAATTCTGGGATATTAAAGTCGCCCACCGCTACGAGTTGGTCACGATCCGTCATAAGATTAGAGACGTATCGAATAGCGGACAAATGCTGCCAATATGTGGGCGGTTCAGACATAGGAGGTATATATGAACATGTAATGTATAAAGCTTTCACGGACATAGTGATTTTAACGCAAATAAATTCTATGTCACCAAACTCTTGGGATTTCACCTCTTCAGAAGCAAAAGTAGAGTCTACCGAAATGAGGACTCCACCTCCTCTTCGCTAAAAGTGGTGTACTTACTTGGAAAAACTTCGGAGCTAAAGATCTCCGGATTTAACCAAGTTTCTGTAAATGCTATTATATGGGATGCAAAGAAAGAACTATCAGAATATAGCTTGGGGAGTTTGCTACGTAGCCCCCTAGTATTCTGATAGGTAAGAGTTAGTGAGGAAATTAGTTTTTTGGGTTAGAGGCCAAAGAAGAGGTGGAGGGTTGGTCAGTGGTTCCGATATTGGGAAGTCTCACTCCCACTGGTTTATTAACTTTTTTTTTAACGGAACTAGGCTGATGTTCTTGGACGAAAAGATTCTCTGGCCAAAAACTGGGAGAACAAATCGTTTTGAACATCAGCGCGGGCACACGAATCTTGAAAGAAGACGTGCGCCTTGTATAATTGTATTTAAATTTTTGTATGTCCTCCACCTTAATATCGGCTTTAATTTTGGCTTTGATATAAGCCGAGATATCAATCTCTGAAGTATCAGGGGCAAGCCGAGAAACAAATATATGTTTCGATGGAGGAATCACCTGTAAGGGTTTTGGTGTCGCAGGTACAAGAACTGCAGCATCAGTCGGTGCCGGTGGTCCGGACTGTGGAATACCCTTTTGGGTGACCCTAATGGGGGTTTCGTTCCCTAGGACCTGTGGCATCACTTGAAGGGATGCCATGGCGGACATATCGGACAATTGCTCATTATCCCTGAGAAATTCTGACGAATTTTTCTCAGTTAAGGCCCTTGGGGTGGCCAGAGTTATGAGCGGCTGCATTAATGTCGGCTGAGCAGGCTGAGGCGGATCAGAAACAGCGGATTTCTTACGCTTAGGGGAGTCATTTAGCAGCTGAAGGCCACTAAATTGAGTGTCAAGCGCACAGAGCTGGTCATTGATTTTACGAAAACCAGTGATCAGCTCTTTAAATCCATTTTTGGTCTGTCTCATGAACGACCTCATTTCGCCTTGCACAGCACGACAATTTTCGCAACAATAATGTATCCCAGACCTACGGGAAATGGCATCCGAAACTGATGCAGTGAAACCGGCACACTTGGCGTGCACGACGTTTTCACATAACCAGCAATGGATACTAGGCTGGGATGTGGAAATCGTCTTGTTGCAAGACTTAATGGCACAGACCAGTTTAAATTCCATTTTGTTTATTATTATTATTTTTTTTTTAATTTAATAAGACAAAAATTAATATTTAAAAAGTTAAAAAACACAATACCTTGAACCACTGTGCCAAACAAGAAGCCGAAGCGGGAGCTTTGAAAGAGTGCACAAGAGAAATGCAGAAAATATAGATAAGCCGGGGAAGAAGCAGAGCTGAGCTATGCTTGGAATAGAATTTAGACAAATTATTAATTCGATTCCAAATATACCAAAGCACTCGCGAAGCGATACGGTTTAGGCTTTAAGATTGTTATGATTCACAAGATTAATTCACAAAGTATGTAAACACCGGTTTACCAATATTTATCAAAAACGCAGTGCGCACAAAAAAACACGACCGTTCGCTTGAAAAGAAAGAGAGGAAGTGGATAGAAGACAATGAAATTGTAATCTGGGAGAATTACGGGTACCTACAGCACGCAACGAGCATGACGACCTATGTGGACTACGCGGACCAGACAGAGGCAATGACGAAAATATTCACGGACGACCACAGAACACCAGTTATAGCAACGGACCTTAGACATATTCGCAAGTTGCTGACCACCCTTAAGTTCCACCACAGGGCTACTAGAAGAATTCATTTAATTGGTACGGCACTCAAGGTTATTGCAGGTACGCCTGACTTTAACGATTGGGAGCAGGTAAGATTTCATCAGCTCGCTAACGCAATGAATCAGATTCAGAAATACGAAACAAATAAAGAAACGCACTTGTTAGAAATCATTTTAGCAAAGAATAGAATCATCATTACATACCTAGAGAACATCCTTATGGGCCTAACCCTAGCAAAATTAAATATTGTTAGCCCAGCTATTCTAGATGGTGCCGACTTAAGCGAATTCAGAAACAAACAGCCTATTAATATTAATATTAGTTTGGTAGAAATATTAGAAGTATCTAGCATAAGCGTTTTTCAAAATTCTGACATTCTGCACTTTCTTATTAAATTTCCTAATCCAAAGCTCGTATGTAAGACAATAACAGTCTACCCGGTTCAACGCCACAATAGAACCCTGAACTTCGAGGGCGGAAATTTAGTTGCCGAATTCCCAACACGGAACCTTAATATCGGTGACTGCAAGACAACGGTAGGTGCCGCATTCTGCAAGGAACTAAAAAACGGCACATGGGCTCAGCAGATAGTTTCTGGGGCCACCGCGCACTGCTCCACGCTCCCAGGTCATCTAGACCCAATCACCATTGTGGACCACGGAACCCTTATCATCAACGATGCCAACGTAACGGTGACTGACGACCAAGGCCGGCAACCTGGTTTAAAAACCAGCTGGGGAGCTCACTGAAAATACCTGCTGTGTCGGCTATGACAGTAGTAAACGTCACTGCCCACCACAACCGACTCAGCCTCCCGTTTCTCCATGAGCTTAGCCTAAGTAACTTACACCACATCGGGGCCCTCAGAGAAAGGCTGTCATCGGGATCCCGTCTCAACATTTGCCTTATTCTACTGGCTGCCCTTTCACTATGCGCAATCCTGTACATTGGCAAATATCACCTGAAGGCTAATCGCCGCAAGAAATCAAGGGCTGAAGACGATGTAGAACGAGTGGGTCCTCGGGACGACGACCATTTAAAAGAGGGAGGAGTTAACACGCGCAGGCCGAATTTAGGAAAAGTGCCAAATTGCACACCGGATCCGGTGGCCCGCACGCGTAACGAAAGAGGTGCTGACTACGCATTCCAAGGGCAACTGTCAACAAGTGATCGTTGATGGCCGGATACGGAATGCTGACACTGCAACTGGGCAACTGCGCCGCAGCCCAACGAAGGCTTCGAAGTACAACCCGGGTAGTATTTTAGTTCAGTCTTAAGTAGAACTCCGCAGCCTTAGCTCGCGATATATTTTATCTTTGTCAGTAACACTGGCCCTAACGGGCTCGTGCGAAACAAATGATCAATAAATATCATTTGTAAAACCCCGCAGCCTTAGCTCGCGATATATTTTATCTTTGTCAGTAACACTAACCCTAACGGGCTTGTGCGAAACAAATGATCAATAAATATTATTTGTAAAACCCACACACAAATAATCTATTATTAAGTTATATCTTAGTCTTAGTCTTAATGTATTTTATCTTATCTATCTTCAAATGAAAGTCTATCTTAAATATTTCTTAACGAAATATATCCGTGGTTTTCTTTTCCTTTATTTATATTAATATATTTAATATAAATAAAAAGTTTTTTCAACCCAAAAAAAATTCTGTAGGAATTTTGTATAATATACAAATAGATTCAAGTAGATTGAAAATATTATCTTAACTTTAAGGTAATTTTCATATATTTTAAGTATTTAAATTTAAAAACTAATCTTTTATTCTGTACATTTTGTTAAGGTTGATGTCACATCTACTACGTCTTACAAAAAACTGTTTGAGCTTTGATTTTATCGGAAGTTCGACAGATGAATCCGCTGATGATATGAACAATGTTCAGGTAAGCAGTAAATAATGCTCTAAGTAACGAACAATTTTTGTATGACCTTGCAGAGGGTATTATAATTAATTCCAAGAGTGTACAACACATTGAAATGATAACCACATACTGTAATCAAACTTTAGAGCTGGCGTATAACTGCGATTTCTTGATTTTCTTAGAAAAAAACTGGAAACCTTTGCATTCCTCTTATATATATTTAAAAAATATATTTAAAAAATAAGTATAAATATACTTATATAAATATTATACAATATCAGTTCACCTTCGACAGTCTAACCGATCGGTCGTGTTCTTCCGCGAGACGTCTATGTAGCGCAGCTTCAAAACAACAACACAAGCACAAAGCAAACGAAATAACGAAATCTTCTTATCTCTACTCCAACTGGAGCGACGGACAATTTTGGCAGAATTTAAGTGGCCTTAAAGTTTGTTGACCCCACAATGCTGGACCCTCCAGACATCTGGAGAAAACACCCTCCAGACGGTATATATTTGGTTGCAACCAGAACGGACGAAGATTCCCAGGCCCTGGCTGCAATCTGCCCGTTCATTATTAAGAAGACAATCGACAATACTATTCAAGGTGAAGTTTCAAGTTGTAAGAAAACCAAAGACGGCAATTTACTGATTAAGACTTAAAACTTATTACAAGCCGAAAAACTTAAGAAACTCGTCAGTATGCCTTCCAACACTCCATATGTCGATGTCCCCTTTAAAATTTCTGAACACCGTAGTCTTAACTCGAGTATTGGGATAATATATTCGAACAATTTGCGAGGAATTGATGAAAAAGTCATCTTGGACAACCTAAAGTCGCAAAAAGTTGAAAGAGTCGAGAAAATATATAAATATATTCCCAACCAGGTTCTCAATAAAACTCCACAAAACGAAACGGGTCTAATAAAAATCTCATTTAAGGGGAGGTTCTTTTGGATTTTTTTGAAAAAGTCGATTTTTTTTTTTTTAATAAAATGAAAGTTAAATATGTGTAGAATATACGTGCCAAGGGATTTTTCGATGCGACGCGTATTTCTTGAGCTAGAGCGTTTCAAACATACCCATGATAACAAGAAAGCTATCTAAAGGCAAAGTTTCTAAAAACTTTAAACGAGTTTTTCTCGGAACCAGGTTTTCAAACCTCTTGTCGCGCACAGGGCTCGTTCTATTGATCCGATTTCCTTCATTCAAAAAATGTTTAAAAGTACATTTTTTTTTTGTATGCCTTATACCTAAAATTGGCATAAAAAATTGTTTATTTATAATTTTTAAACGAGATCAAAGTAAAAACAAAGAGAAAAAATGTCAATTTTTTTTTTAAACTTCCATGAAATTGGTTTATTTTTACCAAAATTAAATGTCGTTAGGTATAAGGCATAGGAAATTCCATCAATTTTAATAAATTATATACATTTTCAATTTAAGTTCACTACCATTGGCCCTACACTCGACAAAGCAGAAAAATAGAGGTCTACGAGATCCGCCATTTTGAAGCCGCCATTTTGAATTTCCTGAATATTGAATATTTTTTTTACTCGTTAATAAACAACGAATCAAAAGTTCAAAAGCATGAGTTCGTATGTCTTTTCATTTTCTCGCAATCCATTCTCAAAGTTTGCTTAATTTTTGGAAAAATCTATAAGAAAACCTCCCCTTAAGCTAACCCATCTGCCAGACTTTCTCTATATTGGCTATGAGAGAGTTGAAGTGCGTACATTTATACCGCGTCCGATGCGTTGCAACAACTGCTTTAGGTTTGGTCATACCGCAAAGTTCTGCAAAAACACACCAACTTGCGCCAACTGTGGTCTCGATGCCCACGTTAACTATGAGAACTCAGAAATTTGCCAAAACAAGCCGAATTGCATAAATTGCTCCCTTAAAAAACTCCCAACACCTGACCACCATGCCCGCAACAAGGACTGCCCTGTCTTCCTGTCGAACAAGGAAGTCCAGGCCATTAAGACCCTACAAAAAGTTGACAATAGGACAGCCTGGTCCATATAGAACAGAAGACACCACGATGGATCTCTCTACTCCTCAGCAGCCAAATCCAATCTAGCCAACTCAAACCAAACGTCAACAAGGAAAACAATAAGCTATGCCCCAAATGAATTTGAAACACCAACATCCAGGAACCTCGATCCAGACCCAGACGAACCTATGTCATCCAGCTCGGAAACTCCCTGCACTTCCCACACTGCTAAAAAACCGGCAAAAATCCATCCGTTTAACACAACAAATAGAACCAAAAGGCTTTTTAAAAATGATCGAGCGCAATTATCACCAGATCTAAACTTAAATCATTTGCCTCAATTGAAACTAAAACAGCACAGTAACAATCATAATGACCCTAAAACTTCTACAATGGAACATGAATGGATACCTGAACAATTACAACGAACTGCAAGTCCTGATTAAACGCTTTACTCCCAAAATCATTTCACTTCAAGAAACCCACATAACGTACACCCAACCAATTCCTATTCCAGTTAACTACAATATTTACTACACAGCCTCGCACAGCCCGGATGGCGGCGCAGCAATTTTAATTCACAAATCTATACAGCACAAATCCATCCCTCTTCAGAGCACAGTTGATTCCATTGCATTGGAAATTCAGTCTGTAAAAAAATTTAATATAATAGCATCCTATATACCTCCTAACAAGAAATTCAACCAAATAGATCTCCATTCAATTTTACCAGGAAACTCCCCAAATCTAATTACAGGAGACTTCAACAGCTGGAATACCAGCTGGGGATCCCCAAAAATTAATCTGAGGGGAAGAATATTAGAAAAATTCATTCTGGATAACAACTTCATTATCCTTAACAACGGACAACCCACGCATTTCTCAACACATAGGACCTTTACTCATATTGACTTGGCATTCTGTTCACCTGAACTTAAAGTATATTGCGACTTCAAAATCAAAATCGACTTCAAATCAATCACTCCTTCCAAGGAAGCGATCACTTCCCAATCACCATCGAAATTTTCCCGAAAAATCTGAGAGCAAGTTAAAACTTTGTACAACGATTCGTTACTAGCAGAGCTGATTGGGAAAAATTCGAGAGATGCTAACTGAAGACCTGAACAATAAAATACCAATGTCACTAAACATTAATCAGGAAGCAGGCAATATCAAGAAAATTATTTTGCAAAGTGCATACAGGAGCATTCCACACACGAGACCACCTAAGACCCACCACAATGTTCCTTGGTGGAACAAAAAACTGGAAGGTCTGAATAAGGAAAAATTTAAAGCCTGGAGAACATTCAACAGAGATATGTCCAACGACAACCTCATTCATTATAAAAAAAATGAACGCAAAATTCAGAAGGGAATTCAAATTGAGTAAAGCAAATAGCCTATTTAAATTGACTTCGACAATCTCCCCTCAGTCCAAACCGGAAGCAATTTGGAGTAATATAAAAAAGTTCTGTGGTCTTCACAAAGCTACACAAATACACGCTATTAAGGACAACAGCAGTAGCGATTTGCTCACTAGCTCCGAAGATATTTCTGAAGCCTTCGCAAGCTATTGGTCACTCCGTTCAGAAGACTCCCAATTCTCCAACCTTTTCATTGAAGAAAAAAATAATCTAAATACGCTAAACTTTTTATCTCCCCCACACAAAACTGCAGCGTTCATGGAACAGGATATAAACTTCCTAGAGTTCTCATCGGCACTAAATAGCTTAAAGGGTCACACACACAAGATAAGATTAACTATGACATGATACGACACGTCGCTGAATCACTGAAAATGAGAATTATCCGCTTTTTCAACAAAATTTTAAAATCTTATATTCCTCAATCGTACAAAATCAGCACAATTATACCTATCCACAAACAAGGTGCAGACAAAACCATGACGGAATCATATAGACCTATCTCCCTCAACCCATTTTTATCTAAAACCCTTGACAGAATAATCTCAAAACGGCTATGGTGGTTTGCTACAACCAATAAGCTACTGAACAGCCGTCAACTCGGATTTAAAAAAGGGAAATCTGCAATGGATTGTCTGCTTTACACAAACGCTCTAATTAGTAGAGCCCTCTCTGAAAAAAGACACATATCCATTATATCTCTTGACTTCGCAAAAGCATTTGAAAAAATAGGATTGCATACCATCACAAATCAACTATCAGTATGGGGCTGCGGTCCATTAATTATCAAATATGTGATGAACTTCATGTCAAAAAGGAAAATAAGAGTTCGTGCCAATGATAACACCTCAAGGACACACCCACTCCACAATGGCATTCCGCAGGGATCTCCCCTCTCGGTAGTACTTTTTCTCATTGCGTTCAACAGTCTCTCAGATATAATCGACAAGCACAAGGAACTTCAACACACAGCTTATGCGGCCGATTTTAACATCTTAATACCATTGAAAAAAGAAAAAAACATTTCAATCAACCTCGACATGCTGTTTACTGAAATCAATGAATGGTGCCAAAAATCCGGCGCAATGCTTTCAATTTCAAAATGCAAACACATCCACATTTGCCGGAAAAAACAATGTTCATGCCAGATCTCTACACAATCCGCAATTATAAACACAGTTAACGAACTAACTATTCTAGGTCTGTCCTTCAACACAAAATACAAATTCAAACCCCACTTCAATAAATTACACAAATCACTACCGAAATCATCAAATATAATAAAATGCCAGCAGAAAATACTTTTTTTTTTTTTTTTTTTTTTTAAATGTGTATATTTATTGAACATTAACGGGTATACTGCTACCTTTGTGGCAGCTTGAACAGGTTGTAATTTACAGGGGAATATCAATAAGTACGTATCAATGATTATACATTAATTCTATATCTAATTAATTCTATTTTCTATATATAATTCTAAATTATTTTAATTTTACATTTTTAACTTCAACGGCTATATGAATCTTAAAGGAAGGTCATGTGGATGGTATCTTTTTAATCTTCTTTTTCTAGGTCTCCATGTTAGCCTCCTCGCTAGGGAGTTAGGATGAAAGCCAAGGCGTTCATGATATTTTTCTGAATGTATACGTATTACATCGCCTATCTTTGATATTTTAAGATCTCTTTCTATATCCCTAGTTCTCATGAACCGCGGGGGCATTACAAATCGATCTGACTATCTTACTTTGCGCTACTCGTATTTTTTTCAGGTTTGACTTAGACGCTATGCCGTAGACTTGTAATGCATACTTCCAGATTGGGCTGAGAATAGATTTGTAGATCCTAACTTTGTTGGAAAGTGAAAGCTTATTTCTTGGTGATAATAACCAGGACATACTTGCTGCCTTTGAAAGCACCGCCTGCTTTATCATCGTTGTGTGCCTCTGGAAGTTAAGTCCTCTATCCAAAATCACACCAAGGTACTTGTAGTAGGCTTCGTGACGAAGCACAGAGCCAAGCATGGAGATGCCTGGGCAGTTTTTTGGCCTTGTGGAGAATGTGACACAAGCACATTTGCTGCAGTTGATGCCTATGCTCCAATCTGTAGTCCACTTTTCAAAACGTGTCACGTACTCTTGCAGACCCAAGGTTGCGATTTCTATGCTTGGACTTCTGACCATAACAGCAGTGTCGTCAGCGTACGTTGCGATCAGCATGTTACCATCGTCGACTTGGGTACAGGCCCAGGAGTCTGGCATATCTGATGTGTACAGAGAGTAAAGCGTCGGACCTAGTACACTACCTTGTGGTACACCGGCTGAGATTGGGCGTTTTGACGACTTTTCTCCATCGAAAACCACACTGAATTTTCTCTCCGATAAGAAGCTCTGAACTAGGAGAAAAAGCTGAGGCGTTAGGAGGTTTTTCAGCTTGCTTAGAAGACCATCGTGCCATACCCTGTCAAAGGCTTGTTGAATGTCCATGAACACAGCAACTGCATACATTTTGTTTTCCATGGCTTCAAGAGCGAAATTGACCACGCGATGTAGCTGTTCAGGTGTGCCATGACTCTTTCGAAAGCCAAATTGCCACTTTGGAATAGCTCTGCTTACCCTTTCTAGTGCAAGGATGCGATTCAGAATGACTCTTTCCATCATTTTACCGAATGCAGGTAAGGGACTAATTGGCCTGTATGCATCTACCTCAGTGGGTTGCTTTCCAGGCTTGGGTATCATCGTGATGATAGCATTCTTCCATGCTCTCGGGTAATGACTCAGCCTTAGGACGCTGTTAAACAATAGGACTATAAATAGTAGTGCCTTGATGGGAAGAATCTTCAGCGTTTTATTGTCCAGAAGGTCCTCTCCTGGTGCTTTTTTGTTTTTGAGGTTTCCGATCTGTGCCTTGACTTCTTCCAAGGTTACAGGCTTACAGGGAAGAGCCATTTGAAATGGTCTGTCCAGTTGTGTTTCTACAAACATTCGGTTTTCCAGTGGAGCTAGATCTAGCGGCTTAAATCTATTTTCCAGATTATCAGCAAAGATATCCGCTTCTGCTGACTTGACCTACACCAACCGCCAGCGGGATTTCTGAGTGGAGCCTTTGGGATGACCTGTCTCTTAAATCGACTTGTGAGTTTCCATAAGGAGTAATTGGTAGATGCATCTGGACTCGCATTTTCCAACATCTGGTCTATATGGTCTTGCTTGTTCTTGGTCAGGACTTTGCTTAGCCGGTTTGACAGTCTTTTATAAATCCTGTGGAAGCGAATATCTCCTGTGCTTGTGTATTGTCGACGGACTTTTCTTCTAAGCCGTATGAGAAGTAGAGCATTTTGTGGGAGCAGATTGTTGCTATTGTGATTCGAACGGTGACTTTGGTTCGGGGTAGCAGCTGTCGCAGCAGTGTGTATATTTTCCATGAAAGCTGCCACCGCAGCTTCAAGATCGTCTGGATGGTTGATGACCGTGTTGAGGTTAATGCTTCTGTTCAGGGACTCCTTAAACTTTTCAACAGAGGAGCCGGGCGGGAGTATTGATTTCTTTTTTGGCTTGCATTGCGGTCTTTGGCTTAGCGTTGCGACGATGGCCAAATGATCCGAGGACAGC